GTTGAGGGGAACTCGCGCCTCGTCGTAGCGAGTCTGAGGGCGCGTTACGTGCCCGGCCTCTCGGGGCGGGGGGGGCAAAGGCCCTTCCAGACCCTGCCCAGGCCGGCTGGCTCGCGGGTCGCTGGTCCGGGCGGGAGGCCGGCGGTGGGACGCGGCACCGCCTCCGCGCCGCGCCAATGGGCTGCGCCTCCTCCCGCACCACCCAGCCCCGCGGGGAGGAGCTGCCCGGGGCTGGCGCAAGCGGGTGGCTGCATTGCACCGGCGGGAACGGCGGCCCCAGCAGACCCGCAGCCGGGCATGGAGGCGGCGGAGGACGGGCCTCGGGGCTTCCTGCCCCGCTTCAGCCACTTCGCCACGCAGGCCATCCACGTGGGGCAGGAGCCGGAGCGCTGGAGCTCCAGGGCCGTGGTGCCGCCCATCTCGCTCTCCACCACCTTCAAGCAGCGGGCGCCCGGGCAGCACGCGGTGAGCGGGGCCGGGGGCGGGCAGCGCGGCTTCCCCGAGGGGCCGATGCGGGTGGAAGAGCCCGGCCCGGGCCGCCGCCGAGGGCTCGGCTGGGCTGCCTGCTTGAGACGGCGGCGGGGGAGGGGGGGGGGTCCCCACCGGCCGGGAATCGCCTGTGCGGGCCTGGCCCCTCCCCGCCGCCACCCCGGGCTCGGCCCCCCGGCCACACCATCGCTGTGAGCTCCGGTGCAGAAATGCAGCTTTTTTTGCACAGACGTCCATCCAATACACTCTCCGTTCACTGGATGTATATTTTGCCCACCCCAGGGTGGCCAGTTTTTAGTCGAGCCAGCTCCACAAAGTGTGGCTTTCGTAGCTGTGTGAAAAACAAAAGCCCCAACGTCAGCCGGCCCCTAGTGCCAGGTGTGACAGTGGGTGGCAGGTTTGAACCTGAAGGGATGCTGGCTACGGCCTTCCGGCGCACCGCTTCTGCTTCCTCTCCTCTCCGGGGCAGAATGGGCTGGAGCAGCGGTGCTGACTCAGGCTCTGGCCCTGGCACCCAGCAGGAGCGCCGCACACCTGGAAAATTAGAGCAGATCTTGCAAGTTTTTTGTAATGGGTCGGCAGCTGTCCAGAGTACCATGTCAATCATTAAGGCAGTCACAGGTTATACTTTTAAAAAGCAATGCATTTAATGTTTAGTCAAGTTTTTTAATTGTAAACTAGCCAGTTGCTCTCACCTGGCCAAGCTAGAATGATGCGTGGAAGTGCATTGCAAAATGTTGACTGAGACAACGTAATTCCCTTTCTTGGTTCTTTGCTCCTTTGATGGGAAGTAGCATGTTTTGCGAGAGTCAAGAGCAGGCAGATTTGTATTCCTCTGAGGCTAGTCAACACGAGCCCTATTTTTTTTTTTTTTGTTCTAGCTTAGGGCTGTTCAACTGGCAGCCTTGCAGGCTGCACCACGCTGCAGGAGGGGTTAATGGGAAGCCTGTGCTTCCAGCTGCCACACTCCCCATCTCTTCTGCATCTGTGGTGGCAGCCTCAGTCTCTGGGGCAGGGAAACGTAATCATAACCTCACTGCCACGGTGTGGAGGGGAACTTGTGCTGCACACGTAGCAGCATGGCAGGGGAGCTCTGGGTTCACCCACAGCAACAGTGGCTTGTAGCCCCCAGCCACTCAGAAGTTGGACAGCCCTGTTCTAGCTGAATATCGGGCAGATTTCGAAAACCATACTGTATTTCTGCCTACAGCTATCTTTCTGCCTACAGCTTATCCCATTAGTATGGGGGGATAAGAATAAAAAAAGGATTGTTAGTTTATCAACATGGATACACAACCCTTTCAGTTTCTGTATATGATAGTACTGCTAAAAGGACATTTGACTGCAGTATAGAGTGAGCAATAATTCCAATCCATGAAATACAAACTCTAGTTGAAGGGAAGTACATTTTATAGATGTTGGATGTAATAATTCAGCACAGAATGTATGTAATATTCTGAAAGGAACTGTAATGACTGCTTGCAGAATTCAAAAAACCCAAAAGTGCCATTAACCTGATCCCAAGATTTCAGGTGACTAGTAACATTTTGGGTGCCCAGCCTGAGGCATCTTAAATGGGTCTCATTTTTCAGAAAGTGTTGGGCACCCACTTTCAGCAAAGCAAGCTCCTTCAGGCTGTCTCAGATTAGGTATGACACTTCTTTTATTTTAAATCTTGGCCTTCATTTGAAAGTCCAGATATTACTGTTATCCTTTTCTTTTACTAACTTTATAATGGTCTCATGTCCATGAGATTTCTCAATCTCTTCTTCAAGTTGTTGGTAGAAAACATTCTTGTCCTCATTGCTAGCTTGAAGGGTAGGTATAGACACTAAACAATGTGATGAAGCCATTCTGTGCGTGCACTCTGAGCATTATGAGTCAAATAGATACAGCAATAGTTGGTCAGTCAGCGTGTGCATAATTGCCAAGCCATGTGATAGCATCCTCAGTGGCCATGTGCAGTTCCTGTAGCCCACCACTGAACTTAGTGGGCGGTCCTTGACAATATGCAACATGGTGTGTGTTTTGAACAGCTACAGACTGGGTTGTTGCAAAGACCCCAGTGATGGAAGTTGGCCGTGCACAGACCTTGCCTTGTCTGGAACCTGTTCAGCAAGGCCCACTGACGGCCTGGCAGTATTGCTAGGTCTGCCCACCTGGCTTTAACTTGCTTACCTAGCTTACCTGCCCACCTAACAATATGTGGTGATTTCAGTGCAAGAGTTGGATGTAGTTTTAAGAATTGGCCTGGCATTCTGGGCAAACACAGGTTTGGTAACATGAATTAAAATGGCCAGTGAGTGTTAGAACTTTGTGCACGTTAAAATCTATGTGCTATCAACACCTATTTCCCTGGGAAAATCACAAGAAAGACATTGTAGAAACATCCAAGATCAGGGCACTGACATTAATTAGATCTAGTACTGGTTAGGCATAACCACCTGAAAAGAAAATCCTGCATATAAGGTCTTATAGTGCCGACTGTGACACTAACCATGCCTTAGGCAGAAGACTAAGTCAGAATCAATTTTAAAAAGATCCACCATATCAAAACTACCAGTTGCCTTCAGATAGATACCAGCCAAACTAAAGACTAGTCCTGTGCAAAGCGGCAAGTATTCGCTTCAGATTCAGATTCGGCCGATTTGGAGGGACAGTGATTCCATTCAGCCGAATCAGATCCAAAGATTTGGCACCACTTTGGCCACAGACTAAACAGGCAGCAGTCCTCACCATGCTGGACACAGCTGCCTCCAGCTGGTAAGTCTGTTGTGGTGGGTGGAGGTGGGAGGGAAGGTGCATGGGGGGGCATATCAATGCCCCCACAGGCATGGCAGCGCTGGGAGTGGGGGCTATACCCTACTGCCAAGCCGCACCTGCATTGCGCCCCCTCGCACCCGCCTTGGCTGGGCAGGTGGCAGCAGGGTGTAGCTGAATATTTTCTGAATCGATTTGGTGGCTTTTGATTTGATTCGGACCTTTAATTGATCTCCTGATTCGATTCTGATCCAGAGATTCGGCCGGCGAGTCAGGCTGAATCTCCTCCAAATCCAGTCGGCTACCAAAGCTTTGCACAGCCCTATTAAAGACATAAAAAGATAGACTGTTCAATGAAGAAGCTGTGAAAGCAAGTTTACCTAACAACTTGGCCACTGAGGCTTGCGAGAGCTTAAAAACTAACAGGTACAATGCTGCTATAACAGCATTTGGCAAAAAATGTGGACTGGTTTGAGTAGCTGTGTTGATCTAAGAACATAGGCAGGCAAGGTTCTTTGGTTAGATGTGATATCTTTTACTAGACCAACTAAATAGTTGGAAAAAAGTTCTTTGCAAGCTTCTGGGCACAAACACCCTTCTTCAGGCATTGGGAGACTCTGCTGCTGTTATGAGTTCTCCAAGGCAGAACTCATGACTGGGTTGAAGAGCATTCTGAAACCCTTGTACCCACTGGGTGAGAACAAAGGGACAGTGCTAACAATTTGTAAGAAATCTCCCAATACCATAACCCTAGAAAATCTGAGAAAGGGTCAAAGAGAAATGCAAAAGAAGATTAAAAGGTGTGCCCAAGATTTTTGGCTGAAACTCTGCGATGATATTCAAAAAGAAGCCAACACAGGTGATAACTGTAGAATGTACATCAAACAAGCAGTTGGTCCAGTCAAGAAGAAAACAGCTCTGCTGAAAGACTTAAACAGAAAGACTTAAACACTGATAAAAACAATTTGAGTGTTGGATTGATGACTGGAATTATAGGGCACCTACACATGAGTAGTGAAGTTTCTCCAATGTGCTGTAATTACAGTGGGTCAGAGCAGACTCAATTAATAGTCTGCTGGAGTGTGGTAATTACCATGCTCCAGTGGACTTCAGCAGCTCAGGTACTAGCATCCCCACATTTAAAAATGGTGGCAGAGTTGCTTTAACTAAAGCTCATTCAGTGCAATGCTCCAGGCACTTTAATTAGAGTGGCTCTCAGAGCTGCTCTAATTAAAGTGTCCCACCCCCCCCTCCGACTCCCAGAGCACTTGTATAAATACCCATATACTTCAGTGAAACTGAATCAAACCAAAAAGCTTGAAGGATTACCACAGTTTGATTGATTTGGACAAGTCTACATCAGAAGATTTGCAGAAAGCTATTAAATTGATTACTGGGAACAAGGCATCCAGCAACAACTGTTTGCCGGCTGCAGTCTACAAATGTGCCAACACTCAATTGCTTTGAAAGCTCTATGAAGTTATACCGCTCTGTTGGAAAGAGGAAGCAGTAGCCCAAGGCTTCTAAAATGATTTGTACAATTATACAAAAACAAAGGAGATAGAAGTGACTGAGAAGTCACTTAGAGGTATCTCCTTGTTAAACATCATTGGAAAAATTGTCACTCGCATCATGCTCACTAGGCTGCGCTCTAGGTGAAAGAATCTATTCTGAAAACCAACGTGATTTTTTGCTGAAGTCACTCCACCATTGATTTGATATGATATTTTTGGTCACACAACTGCAAGGGAAGTGTCGAGAAAAATGAATACCACCATATATAACCTTCATTGATCTGACAAAGACCTTTGATACAGTCAACAGACAGGGCCTTTTTATAGAAGTGCACCAATACATCGGTGCCATATCATATTGGCACTGATATAAGGAAAATTGATGTTATTGGTAATCAGCTTTTTTTGGCTGATGTAGCTGATAATGTTGCCGATAAATGCCGCATGCATACGCATCTTCAGTGCAGCACGCAGGTGGCTAAGAGCACAGTCTGGCAGTGTGGAGAGGAGTGCCCAGCTGGTACGTCTGTTGGGGAAGAGGTGTGGGGGGAGCAGACTGAAGCCTCCATGGTGACAGATGGGCTGGGGCTGGGGCTGGGGCTGGGGCAGGTGCTGCACAGGTGGGGCAGGGCATGGGACAGAGCCATGAGCAGCTCATTTGGGGAGTGTGGGGGGGGGCAGCTCCTGCTGCTGCACACACCCCAGGAGGGCAAGGGGGCATGTGCCCCTGGATCTGTGCAGAGAGCAAGGGTGGGCTGCTGCTGTGGACTAGAGCCTGGGGCAGTGCTGGGCTCTTCCTGGCAGAGGGGATAGGCCAGGGCTGCACTTGGGGCAGGCAGCAGTGGCACTAGGAGGAGAGGGCTATGGGGAGGGGAGGCTACAGCCACCCCAAAATTTGCCGTAGCTGCCACTCCCAGTGCCTCTGCCTCTTTCCCCAAGCACAGCCCAACCCAGCCCCCCTACCAGGAAGAGCCCAGCGTCGCCTCCAGCCCCAGCCCACTGCAGCAGCCTGCCCTAGCCCTGCGCATAGTTCCAGGGGCATATGCCCCCCCATGCCCTCCCAGGATGCATGTAGTAGCAGGATCCACCATCCACCCCTTTCCCCCCACGCCCCACCCTGGCTGGGCAATGCCTGCCCCACTCTACCTTACTGTGGGGGCCTCTATCTTCTCCCCTTCTCTCCACTCTTGCCCCTTACACCACAACAGACTTACCAGCCAGATGCTGCTCTCCAAGCTTCCAGGCCGCAAATCAGCAATCAAATCAGCATCGGCAGATATGGCTCATTAAAAACTCAGTCATCGGTATCGGCCCCAAAAAGTCTATATCGGTGTTCCCCTACCCTTTTACTATTCTGAAGAAACTGGGTTGCCCCCCCCCCCCC